GGCACTGTGGTGCATGAATCTAAATTTTACTACCTTTAGTAAACATATTTTGGTAGGTACTTATTAAATAAAAAAAGTCAAATTTTTCACTCTCACATTAATGTGAATTTATAATTAATAAACAAAAATTTTGTTCGTACCGCCGCTCCCGCAGTACCGCGTTGTAGTGAGAGATTTTTAAATTCTTAAAAGACAAATACAAAAATATTAATGGTAATTATTCCTGACATCTTTAAAAAAATTCTCACCTTGATTTCTTCCATTTGCGCGCCTAAAATCGAATTTTCAATGGAGTTGCATTATAAAACTTATTTTACGCACTCCATTTTATCTCAATAAAGCTAATATTATTATAATTTTCGAATTATGATGCAGAATAATATAAAATAGAGTATTTCACCATATTTGTTTTAGGTAATCAACATTTTTCAGATATGAATATTACTAAATAAAATTATATTAAATTGTATATCTTCAATATGGCACCCGTAAGTATGGCAACAGTGGAGGGTGCCTGTTTGAATATAATTATAACCAGTTTATACGTGAAGGGTGCTACTTGATCATGATTTTTGGTGGTGCCACAATGTCAAGTTTTAAAATTGGTTTTTTATACGAGGGGGTCACATTTACGTTGATTAAGTGGGTGCCACTTCATACAAGATGCATGTATATATATATATATATATATATATATATATATATATATTAATTGTATGCTACGACACCCACATAACCGATGTACAATCAAACACCCACACTTATATACGTATAAAATAGAAGGATCACATGTTGCTGTATTAGCACCCATGTAAATCTTGTCTATGAGGCACCAAAATGTATGAACTTGTGATATTGCGTGTCAAACTGACACCCTACAGCGTTGCCAAGATATTTCACTGTTTTATACGTATATAACAATATTGTCAAAATGGCACCCCCCTTAATATTGGTCCTAATGACACCAATATGTATGAACTTGTGATATAACAGGTCAAAGTGACACCTTACAGATATTCATAAACATAACATATTTTTGGAAAATAACGGTTTTATACATATGACACAAAATTGTCAAAATGGCACCCTCGTTAATCGTGGTCCGAATGAAACCAATATCTATGACAGGTCAAAGTTATTCTTACACGAAATATTCCTTTCTTTCTTTTTAAATCTGCAATTTAAGCCAAAAAAAACCTGAATGCACGTAGTACACGAACGCCCTTATTGTGGATATATGGGCAACTAAATAAAAATATGTTTTAAGTACTCCTAGTTTAATAACATAAACATATTAAAAAATAATACAAAAACACATACGTAATTAAAAAAGGTACATTAATAAAAAAGTACTAAATAATTACAAAAATTATGTAAATAATAATTAAAATAATACTTAAAATTACGGTAAATATTGTATTTTATTCCCAAATTTAACAAATGGGTCGGTAGTATTTTTTTATTTGCGTACATTAAAAACATATTTTTTTTAAACATTCAGATTCAACATCTAAAAATCTACGGGTCAATTTCAATTACTGTTACCTTTCATTGAACAATTTTAAATTGTTAAAACGGTTTAAACCCTTAAAGTCAAAAATACACCCCTGTTATTTAATTAGCGGATTACTAACATAACACATAATAATTTTAAATTGTTTGTTGCTGTTGCATGTAAACCAAATTAAAATTTTAAAAAATTAATAACACGCAAAAAAATAAAAATTAAAAAATTAAATTATAAAATCTAATTAAATTGTTTTGTTGCGATATTTTATTTATACCTACTTACCTGCTAATTCCCATGTAAAAAGTGTAAAGATTTGTCAAATTTAGATTATTTAAAAGAGCCCCACTCTTTTTGGCATTGCAAATTATAAAGTGATACGTTTTTACACTGCGCGTCAAAATTAACGCATAATAAGTAAAAAAAGTCTTAACTCTAAAACGCCTTTACTAATCTTTATGAAATTTTTTAAAAAATACTTCATCTTATACATGTTATAGGTATATGTTCGAGGGTTTTTCAAGAAAATATGTTTAAAGTCCTTTTATTTAATAATAAAAAAACGTTTGAAAAATAACTTTTAGGGATTTTTTTTTAAGTAAATAAGAAATATGCTGTTAAAGACCGTATTTTTATTAGTATACCCTGAAAATTTTGTACAAATCAAACGAACATTAACGAAGATACAGTGCTTCAAAGTCGTTAAAAATGACCCCTTTTGATTATTTTGCTGAAAAGTGGTCATTTTTGATGACTTTATAGCGCTGTATTTTCGTTACTATTCGTTTGATTTGTACAACATTTTTAGGGTATACTTACAAAAATAAGGTATTTCACAGAATATTTTTTATTTACTTAAAATAATTCCCCATAAAAGTTTTTTTTTGAGCGTTTTTTATTATTAAATTAAAGGGCTTTAAGGATATTTTCTCAAAAAACCCTTGATAAACTGAGATATAAGTTAAAGTATTTTTATCCAAAATTTTATAAAGATTGGTGAAGGCGTTTTAGAGTTAGAATTTTTTTACTTATTATTATGCGCGCAGTGTATTTATCAAATACAGGGTGTTTCAAACTAAAGTTTCCACACCGGTTTTCACACGTCAATTTTTTATTTAGGGACAACAATTTATTTTAATTTTTAACCCTACAACCTTAACGTCTAAGCGGCAAAAAGACCTATCAACTATCATCCCCACCTAGGAATCCAGATTGAGGGGTTGTAAATATTTAAGAAATGGTCCCCTTGAATAAAAACGTTTGCGAACGTTTTTTGTATTTTTAACACCTTAGAAATAAATAAAAATTATTTTCTACATAATGGTTTAGAACATTAACTGACAATTACTCCATTAAAAAACAGGTGACCAGCGTTTGCAGACAACTTCAGATAATTAACCAATATCACGTGCAATGCCGAATCAAACACGAAATAAACCCAAACCGACCGACCGAAACTATTAGCGCGAAAGTTTTAAACTTTTAAATTTACAATAGTAGCTCAGCCCTTTTAAACATTTAACTATTAATAATAATAATAATATTAATAATAATAAACCGATTGTATGTAAAAATGCCCTTTTTGTTTTTAAATATTTTTTTTCAGGTTTTAATGATATTTTATTTAACTATCTATGTTTTATCGTAAGTAATATCATAAGGGCATCTAATTTTTCCGAAAAAAAATCGAAAAAACACGTTGCTAAGTAATATTTTAACAAGAAGCATGAGTGCTGGTGGCAACAAAAATCCGAGTCGAAGACGAGGATTTTTGCACATGCACGAATGCATTTTGTTAAAAAATATTACTTAGCATTGTGTTTTTTCCGATTTTTTTCACAGGAAAAATTAGATGCCCGAATGGTATTTGACAAGACTATTTCAGGAGTAACAGTTAACAATTAAAATATAAATTGCAATTTTTGGTGACAACAGCTGTCAAGTTTTGCCGCGGGTAAACTGCTGACAGGTGCTGTCATATAGTTTTGCCGCGGGTAAACTGCTGACAGGTGCTTTTCACCTAGAAACCATTTTTAATTCAAAATTCGCGTTTGTGATTGGTGGAAATTAAGACAAGGGAAATAGTCAAACTTATATACTCATTATATTATATACGAACAAAACAAACTTTAAAAATAACAAGCAAGGAGGCATTCACTAATTACGTAAGATGTTTAGGGGGGAGGGGGTCGAGCCAAACCTCACCCAATATCACTCAATTTTTTCTTTTCCAATGAAACAGTGTAAAATTGCGAGAAAACTGGGTTAAATTAAGTAAACAATTTTAACAATTGTTTTTTTTTAATCTAATGGAATCAATCACAGATTAACTTATTTACATTAAAACCATGCATTTTAAAAAATCTCACGTGAGATTAAGGGAGGGGAAGGGGGGAGTCGAATGAAACAGTGTAAAATTGCGAGAAAACTGGGTTAAATTAAGTAAACAATTTTAACAATTGTTTTTTTTTTTAATCTAATGGAATCAATCACAGATTAACTTATTTACATTAAAACCATGCATTTTAAAAAATCTCACGTGAGATTAAGGGAGGGGGATGGGGGAGTCGAAAAATCGCCAAAATTGCCTCACGTAATTAATGAATGACCCCTAATAATAATCAAATAAAATGTTTAATATTTTAATAAAAATTCCCGAAATTTTTATTTATTTTAACAAAATATATTATATAATATTACCGATGGGTTTATTTTAAATAATTATTTATGTTATCTATTTTATCAAATAAAAGTTGTATTTTTATAGATAAATTTATATACTCACAGACAGACTAACGTTAAGAATTATTTATTTTTATTGTATTTAGTTTTTACAAAATATGTTATCAAAAACTGTTATAAATTAATAGATAGTGTCAATACAAAGTTTTCACTCATTTTACTCAGGTGTTACACAAAAAAGTTAAAAAAACGTTTGCACACGTCAATTTTTTATTTTAGGCAGGCATTTAAAAAATATATTTTCTATCATTAAGGGGGGGTAAAAGTTACCTCAATATTTAGGCTTTTTAATTGCCTGCATTTTGGCATTTTTAAATCGGTTGGTTCGTTCTCGATATATTTAAGATTAAAATAAATTAAAAAATAAAGTTTTTTTCAAATATGTATCTCTAAAACAAACTGACCGTTTTTGATTGAGTGTACCTTATGTTTTTTAATATTTTTTATATTTTAAGTTTTATTTTAATAAAATATTTAGGATTTATAAAACAATAAATATAAACGATAAAAATGTTGTATAATTACATAAAATTTAATATATTTAATATATTTTACTATATTTTATTTGTATCGTTTAAACTAAATTAATTGTTTTATTTTTATGCCGTAGAAATATACATTAAAAATGGGATATTTTGTTTGACTTCTTGCCTACACAATAATATTTTAAAAATAAATAAATAAAACAGTAACAAATTTACTTATAACAAATGTTGTGTTGAGCATAATATGATATATTATATCAATAAAGGTATTTTGTTGCAATTCCGCACGCCAAGATGTATTCGCGCGCCAAACGAAGCGTTAAAAATAAGTTGACTTCTGAAAAAGAAAGCGGTGTTGCCAAATTTATGGTGCCAGAGAGCAAACATAATTGTATGGTGCCACTTTGCGTCTATTTACCAACTTGTATGCACCGCAGCGCCCCCATCGGAGGATGGTCGAACTAATCAGTATGTAAATTCAGAATTATGGTCAATCCGGCACCCAATCGAAATTTTGCCAGACGCTTCGTTATGCCCTTATATGAACATAGGGCTGACAAGCACTCAAAACGTAACGGCACCCAAAACCGGGTGCCACATGGTAAAATTGGGTGCCGTTTAGACAATTGTCACCTATAAATGGTGCCACTTTGACGAAATATATGTATATATACATATATATATATACATATATATATATATATATATATATATATATACATGCATCTTGTATGAAGTGGCACCCACTTAATCAACGTAAATGTGACCCCCTCGTATAAAAAACCAATTTTAAAACTTGACATTGTTGCACCACCAAAAATCATGATCAAGTAGCACCCTTCACGTATAAACTGGTTATAATTATATTCAAACAGGCACCCTCCACTGTTGCCATACTTACGGGTGCCATATTGAAGATATACAATTTAATATAATTTTATTTAGTAATATTCATATCTGAAAAATGTTGATTACCTAAAACAAATATGGTGAAATACTCTATTTTATATTATTCTGCATCATAATTCGAAAATTATAATAATATTAGCTTTATTGAGATAAAGATAGAGTGCGTAAAATTAATAAATAAGTTTTATAATGCAACTCCATTAAAAATTCGATTTTAGGCGCGCAAATGGAAGAAATTAAAGTTAGAATTTTTTTTAAAGATGTCAGGAATAATTACCATTAATATTTTTGTATTTGTCTTTTAAGAATTTAAAAATCTCTCACTACAACGCGGTACTGCGGGAGCGGCGGTACGAACAAAATTTTTGTTTATTAATTATAAATTCACATTAATGTGAGAGCGAAAAATTTGACTTTTTTTATTTAATAAGTACCTACCAAATATGTTTACCAAAGGTAGTAAAATTTAGATTCATGCACCACAGTGCCTGTCATTTATAAGTGCTTGAGAATTTTTATTACTTTTTTTTCGTGTGAGTACATGTAAAAAAAATTAAATCAAAAATAAACTTACATTCATTATTTTAATTTTTTATTAATTAATTTCAAGAATATTTTTTAATTATTTTTTGTACATGTACTTATAGTTTTTTAATGTTCCAAAATAAATCCTTGTAAGCAGCAAGTTATGTTGTACAATATTTCCTTTTTTGTACCAATGATCATAGAAAAATTAATATTTTAATTATTTTATTTGGGGCCCAACAAAATTATCTCATTATTATTATTAAAATAAAGATAAAAATAACTACTCAAAAGAAGTTGGGTAAGTTGGGTAAAGGTACAACATACAAAAAGTGTCTGCATGTTCTAGCAATAAGTTTGTCATATTGTCCATAAAGAATAAACCAGTTCATCGAAACTTTATTTGAATAGTGATTTTTCTTCATTTTAACTATTTTATTAACAATTTTTATTAAATTAATGAATTTCTAACTATATTAGTATATAATAATATACCTTTTAATGAAGGTACCGGACGTTCAATTAAACCGTTTATACACATACTTATCGACATTAGACTGGTTGGTAATTCAATTTTTTTTTCTGATTTTAAACCGCCGGGCAAAAAAAGTTTTTTTGTAACCTAAAACTTTTCTATTTAAATTTTGGTGACGATCGGATAATATTTAATAGCCGCGCCCAGGTGAGGAAATTTAAATATACAAAATATTCAGAAAATTGTTTTTATTTGGATTGTTTATGAGTGAATGCATGCACAAAACTTAAATTAATCAAAGAAATAAATATTCTGTTAAATGGTTAATAGAACAACATTCACAAAAAGCTATTAATGTCCAAATTCGGTTAGAATTTAAAAAAGGTTCGTGAATATTTTACATTAAATTACTAAGTGCGGTTTTGTTACAGGAAGGAAACTTTTTGCGATATGCTTCAACAAACTGATGACAAATTGCTTCTGTTCTTCATTTTGAGTCAAATTATTAGCAATGCAACTACATACTAATTTATACATAAAAAATAAGTTTACTACGCCATAATTAAATTTGTTTTAAAAATATTATTTTTATTAATATTTTCCGTATTTTCATATTTACCTGCCTGGGCGCGGCCACTAAATATTATCTTATAACTACAAAATTTTAAATGAGACATATTTAGGCCAAAACAAAACTTTTTTCGCCCGGCGGTTGAAAAAAAATTTTTTACGACCAGTCTAATCGACATATTTACTTTAGACCGAAAAAAAATATATTAATTTATTATTTTCTTGTCATATGAAAACATACAGTTATTAAAACTTATTCGTAGATTTCACTTGTATTGTTTAATAATTTAAAATTAATATTTAAAAATTTGAAATAATAAATAATAGGAATTGTAAAATATCTTTGTTATTATTAACTTTAGGGAATGGTTATATCAATGAAAAGGTATTATAATTTCATATTTCATTATGTAAAAATATACAGGGCGTTCCGCTAAAAATTAAAAACTTATTGCTATTTTAAGTTATCTACATTCACATTGCTTTTTATCAAGTATCTTTTAAGAAATATTACAATAAATACAACCGAATATCATCAAACCTAATATTAAAAAAAATATAAGATTTTTTTGTTGAGGGTGAAACTGACCGAATTTTACGAAAAAAATTAATAACTCAATAACTATTAAGTTTTGGTTTAGAACATGATATAGGTAGTCAGTCATTTTATAAGGAATAATATTAAGAAATAAAAAATGTAAAAAAATTGTGATGATTCATTTAAAATAACAAAGTTGATATCGCTTCCGTTAAAACCGGAAGTGGAATTTTGTTCCAAATAACTTAGAAAAATAGTTTTAATGATAATATTATTATAATTGCTTTAAAAAATTTAATTTGATATCTTTTTCCGTTTTCCATAAACATGTAACATACCATCGACCCTGATACACCCTGTATAATATTTTAATTCCCTTTCTAACTAAAAAATGAAAAAACATCAACAGTATTTTTTTATACTAACGTCAGTAGGCCAGTTATGTTTTGCATTTAGGTAATTTAAACTGTTACGAATCATACCAAAAGTTTTGGTAATTTTGGGGCCGAGCGGTGGCCGAATGTTTGGTGCTCATAAGTTTAATTTTTAAAACAAAAAGTAACTTACTTTGATAAAGAGAAAGAACAAAATATTTTTTAATGTTTTTTAGATGCAGGTTTAAAAAATGTTTACGATTTTTCCTCATCGGAAGAATCTGATCCTTACAAAACAGATGGAAGCGAAGATGAATACATACCATCTAGCGAAAATAGTAGTGAATATGTATGTAATTTTATTTTAAATCTGCTGCCTTAATTTTATATTCCTAAACAAGTGCAGAAGGAGTTTTTTTACGAATGTGAAGACAAGCCATAGGCGAGTTTTGCAATAACATAACTAAAAAAACCCCTCTGCACAATTTAAAGAAAAATATAGACTTTTTCCATTGAGAAAAACGACGATGAAGCTATGGAGAAAATATCATAATAGGTTCAGCTATGGAAACTTGCTGAGAAATACTGTCCTAAAATAATCATTTGTAATTTTATTATATAATGGTAATTTGTAAATTTTAACACAATGTAAAAGCCTTCTGCTAAATTTTTTAACTTCTTCACTTTATTTTAAAATATATATACAGTGTGTCCCGCTTAAGACCTTACCACCTTCGTAAAATTTGTATTTTTTAACCGATTTTTGTAAACTTTTTTTGTTGGATAGATCTCTGGAAAAGGATTTAAACGCATATGTCACTGGTTTTAAAGACTAAACTGTGATCTATTTTTTAGTACTACCTACTAGGGATTTTTTAGAGCAAAAGTTACAACGAATTTTTATTCGGGACCACTAAAAACCGAAATTTCGACCCAAAACAGACATCACAGTTGGCGATGAGTTTTGTCGTCAAAACAAGAGGATGGTAGGTTTTAAGTGGGACACTGTGTATATATTTATAGAAATACTAATAAATGGACTTATAAGTCCATTTATTAGTATTTCTATAAATATATACACAGTGTCCCACTTATTACGCTAAATTTTTACGATTTAAAAATGCCTATTTTTTTTGTGATATAAGAAAAAAGTTTTTCCTAAAACCATGAAAAAAATAACATCTATGTGAAAACAAAATTTCGATTGCGTTAACCGTACACCAAATTCGAATGCATACCACTTTCCTGCAAAGAATAAAACAATTTCCATTTTCCACCATCAAAGATGAAATAGATTGAAGTCCCTAGAAATACAAATAACAAAAAACGTTTAAACATCCGAAAGCAAGTGATTTTGATATAAATTTAAAACGAGAATGCAAATCAGCCTTATCAGAATCATATTCTTAATATTTCTTGTGTAAATTATTATTATATCTAACAAATTCTCCAAAAAAGTAATGATTTGTTATGTTTATTATACTTAATAAACCTAATACATCATCACTTATTTTGAAGACTATATAATTATACGATCTTAGAATAAAGAATGAACCAAAACAATATTTAAAATCAAAATTTCCGCCAGCCGCTTCTCGCTGCCCTCCGGACACGGCCGAATACTTCCGAGGTTTCCGTGATAATTGTTGTCGTCTGTTACACACGAGGTTTTAAAGTTTCTTCCACTGTTGCCAAATTTAGGGTGCCATAATGTAAAGGCATATTATGGGTGCCAAAAGTTTAACAATTATAATGAGTGTATAAAATATATACATCTGTATAAAAAAGAGCGCCATCTATAATAAACTTCGCAAACTAAACTGTATATCCGGGAGTAATCTTTGTCAAAGTGGCACCCTTCAAATTTTTTGTTATATGGTTTAGAAGGACCCTACCTTCATTGGAAAAATTTTTGAAGGCAAAACAAAGTGGCACCCGAAACCGGGTGCCACATTGTAAAATTGGGAGTCACATTGACAATGTTTATACCATATGGGTGCCTAAATGACACTGTCTATCTATATATATATATATATATATATATACATATATTTTGTCAAAGTGGCACCATTTA